GACTTGGCACGGCACAGTTCGGGTCTGGCTTCTGGTGGTTCGTGGAAACGCGGCACTAAGGCTATGTCCAGCGGTGAAATTAGCCAAATAATTTATTTATTTTGCGACTGCATTAGACGTGTGTACGTACTGTGAACAGTGAACAGAAGCAGTCGGTTACTGTACCTCAGGGCCCGGCACTTTTGTGGGACATTTTTAGGTCACCCCTTGAGCACCGCTTTGCTGCAGTCGTTAAATACGAAACACACCGTGGAGGCAGCGAAAGAGAGAATCCCCACCTCCTGCTGCCTAACCCCATCCCAGTCACACACACCCACACCCGTGCCCAGACAAGGCGCCGGTTCCTTCTCAATACCTTCACTCCTAATTTACTCACAGCTGCCAGTCTCAAAGATGTAAAAAAAAATGCCAGCCAGGTGCATTATTGAAACGTCCTGATGATGATGATGAAAATATATCTCTACGCAGGGGGAAAAAAAAAAACTTGGATCATCAGCCATGGACAACGATGATCGTAACTGATGAGTTACAAAAAGGATGAAAACCGGTCGACAATTCTGTCTTTGTTTCACTGCTGCCTGTTGGCTATTTTTTTTAGTCGCCGGTCTAAAATGACAAAACGGCCACGCAGTGCAGTTCTATGGAGCTGGTGGTCTGGATAAGGCTGAACGATTTTGTACATGCAGTGCACATCTGTGTCATTAAACACGTTTCTACTTTTCCCACTCGACTACCTGGTTGTCAATCCTTCATACAACCCCATTCTGTACTCATATGCATCCCAGGTTTTTGTTTATTTTGTTCATCATCAGTCATGGTCAATCCGCTGCTGGATGAAGGCCTCCTCACAAGTCACCGGCATTTCCCACGGTCCGGCTGAGCTGAGCTGATTTGTATGTATGTGTAATGACGCCGACACACGTGACTTATTAAGAGCCTTTGTTCAGACACAGCACTAACGATACCCAGGCTTGGTTATTGAGGCTTGCACTTCGTCTTCTCTCCAACGTCTCTTCTCCTTGTGCTGTCCCCTTTTATACCTCCCAAGCCCCCTCTCTGGAAGCTTCCATCACCTCACTCCCTTTGGCCAATCCTGACCCTTCCCCGTCAACCGTTGTCAACCGTCCTTTTAAAATCTTTCCTCCAATCCTTTTCAAGCTTGCCTCCTGACCAATCACAGTGGAGGCCTCTCCGCACCAATGAGAGGCCTTGGCCTACTTCCTGATTGTCTCACCGTATGCTTGTGTCAGGTAAACAGTCTGTTATCTCGATCATTACATCACCTCTCCCCCTTTAAAAAAAAAAAGCCATCCCGGCTAACACCAGGGAGGAAATGACCAGACCAACAGGCCCTGGAAAGGAAAGAAGAACTCTACCCACCAGAACTTGGTGACCTCCTCACAATGAGCCCTTGTGTCTGACTTGTGGCAATAAGCAATTAGATGTAAAAAACAATGTATGGTGTGAATGATTTGGCTGCTTCGATTTTGCACGTCCCACAATTAGTAACACAACAACAGGAGGATTCTGGAAACAATAGGTTGCGACCCTCTCCTGGACCGTTACGAACATGTCAGTGCAACCGTGTCGAGGATGAAGGGTAGGGAGAAGTTGGGGCATGCTACGGGCGGAGCCGCGTTAAAATGGTATTTTCCTCCTCTTCCCAGTGAAACTTTAGATTTTTTTTCCAGTTAACGCATGCAAGGGCTTTGCAATTGTAGCAAATTGTGGAACGAACCAGCGGTAATATGAGGTAAACCCAACAAAATTGCACACATCACCCGCAGATGTAGGGATCGACCAATTATACACACACGTGGTTTTCTCAGGATCAGTAGTAATACCGAAGCGCTCACAACATGACCCAAATATAGCACAGAAGTTTGCATCAAATGACATTTCGAAGGTTTTAGTTTTAAGTTGGCTGATTGTACCCTGGAGAATACCGCACGCAATGGCTGCAAATGTTCATAAAAATGCGACCAAAAAACAATGACGTCATCAATATATAAGGCACGAATCCCATTGCAATCCCACTACAACCAATTCCATCAGCGTTTGGAATGTGGCTGGTGCTGTTTGAAGACCCATTGGGAGACAATTACATTGGTAGAGCCTTTGAGGTGTACGGAACACTGGTTTGGGTTTGGAAGCCTCATCCAGGAAAAACTGCAAAAAATCCGGAGAGCAAGTCCAGCATGGAAAAAAAAATTGCCCCTGATAATGCGTCTAACGAGTCGTCAATACGTGGGAGCGGATATGCATCCATCAATGTATCTTATTTAGGCAGCGAAAATTGACGCAGAAATGCAGGCTGCCACCCGCTTTTTTAACAAGCACAACAGCAGCCTCCCAAGGACTAGTAGATGGAGAAATGATCTCCGCCACTAGCATGTCGTCCACCACATGTGCTTTCTCAACCGGGCTCATACGGTATGAATTTAACCAAATAGGGGGTGAATTTCCCATGTCAATGTGATGTCAAAGACGTCCGACCTATGCCATGCCCCTTGCTGAATATATTGGAGAATTGCAGGAGTAACGGTCTTAGTTGGTTCCGTTGCATTTCTGACAGTTCTGTATTCTATCACAAAGTTTGTCGAACCAATTTTCGCGCGAGGGGCTAACTCCACCGATGGTGCCCTGGCCACTGTTCCAGGAGTTCCTGGCTCCCTGGCTTCCACAACAATCGGCCGGGTTGCTCCGGCCGCCTATTCTCCAGCGCTCCCGGTCTCTCCTTCCTCCCAGTGAGCTGCAGCACCAGCTGGGAGACGACGTCCATGAGGTGGTCGATCCGCCCCTTCAACCGCTCCCATCCTTGGGTACCAAGCGGCGCACAGTTGAGTGGACGCTCTGGGTACTGCGGCTGCTCCGGCTCGGTCGTCACTAGCGCCGCCGCAGCCCCTCCTGCTTCCCAGAGGTTGATCTCCAGGTTGTCGCCAGGTACGTTCTGGATGAAGACATCTTCATCATCTGATGTCGTCGGTGGGTTGTTCTGTCAGCTTGGGTGCAACATTCTTTAATAACCACACTTCTGACACCAGTTGAAGTGACACCGACACATGATGTGACTTATTAAGAGCCTTTGCTCAGACACAGCACTAACAATGCCCAGGCTTGGTTCTTAGGGCTTGAACGCCGTCACCTCTCCTACGTCCCCTCTCCTTGTGCTGTCCGCTTTTATACCTCCCAAGCCCCCTCTCTGGAAGCTTCCGTCACCCCACTCTCTTCGGCCAACCCTGACCCTTCCCCACCAACAGTTGTTAACTGTCCTTTTACAGTCCTTGAAAATCTTTACTCCAATCCCTTGCAATCTTGCCTTCCGACCAATCACTGTGGAGGCCTCTGCAACAATGGGAGGCAATGGCCTTCGTCTTGTATGTCTGACTGTACGCTTGTATCATGCAAGCCGTCTGTTATCTCGGCCATTACCTATGTATGTTGAACATCTTTCGCACTGTACACATCATCTCTCAATTCCCCCGTGGACGTCCTGATCTCGGTCGTGTTCCTTTGGAGAAAGTCACTCTACGATTAGCACGGTTTGCTATGTATTGTGCGTTTGAAGTTCAACGTACATACATACTCTCTGTGTCAAATCGCCTTGCTTAGACAGAGGCACACATTACGCAAACCAAGTTTACATTACCACCGTCTTGTCAATTCCATCATCGCCATCCACTTGTTAATAGAACGCCACATACACTTTATATACAGTACTGACATTTCTCAAATGCATAATCATATTTTAAAACAAAGGAAAGTGGTCTTGGGCATGACACACATTGCAATGAGGAATGATGATGATGATGATGGCCGATGGACGAGACTCATGACGGAATAACAGGTAAAGGAGGAGAACACCGCCTGAGCAGACGCACACAGTGGAGATGGGGCGATGAGATCATCTCGTTTGCAGGAGCGACGCGAATTGTGGCATTGCGATGTGATGGGAGGTGAGGCCTTCATTCAGCAGTGGATAAAGCATGAATGACAATGGCAGGTTGTAACCTATAATGGTCCTGTGCCATGTCATGCTTTTGTAGTTAAACACCCTTTACAAGCCCTGTTCAGTGGGCGTCAAAAGAAAATAGAGCTTTAGATGTCCAAAGAGCGTACGTAATAACCCTGTAGGTGTCACCTATGCATTGCTCATAGCATAATGCACTTCATTCAACACGCTCAGCATCTTAACTTATGTCACGCTCTGTGACTCCTGTGTACGCATGAGACACGCACAGACACACACTTTAGAAGAAGACAAAAACCGCAGTTGCCATAGCAATTAAACACGCGCGGCGTGACTCTGGCGGCATCTGGAATTACTCATCAGCATGATGATCATCAGCATCGTCGTCATCTCGAGAGAGAGGGAGGGAGGACCGCCAGCCGGTCAGTGACATAATTGCTCCGTCCGGCGACCCCAGGCGTGCGACTGCCAATTTACTCAATTACACAATTAGCAGTGCGTGCCTGCGTAGTGCCACCGTCAGTGTTACGGAGAACGCGCGTTTGAGCGGAAGTTTTTGTTTGTTTGTTAATTTCCGTAGAAAGTATGCCATCCTCCTCCCCCCCCCTCTCTCCTCCAATTCCACGACGCCCCCCACCACCCACGCCTACGCCACCACCCCCCACCCACAACCCCCTCCTCCCCCCCCCCCCCCCACAGTTACGGGTGTGGTGGGCACCCCCTCCACCCAAGCCTCCCCTCTCCAACAACATAACCGCCCAATAGTGGCCCCGTGCGGCGGCGGCGGCTAAGGATGGGGCTCGATTCGTTGCACCGGTCGCTGGCGCACGTCTGGAGAATGCGCTCGGCGTGGCATCCCCGCAGTCGTTGCAACCGGAAGGTGACGCATGTCGAGTGCAAGTTGTGTGCGTGTGTGGCGTTTTGTGGTGGAGGAGGAGGTCTGTGGGGTGGGTGGGTGGGTGGTTCAGGGGGTGGCGTTTGGGTGAGAGGTGGGAGGGGGTGCATGTTGGGGGGGGGGGTGGTGGGGGGAAAAAGTGATCTAACCGCGACTTGACGAGACTTTCCACATTTCTCAAGGATTATATCTACGCATTTCCCCCAAAACCGTCTAATATAAATGGAGTGGCCGCGATTCGAGTCGGTATGTATTGTTTACTTTATGGCAGCGGCCGTGTAACATAAACAGGGAAGGGATTTAATTGCGAGAGGGATGCACTCAGACACAGGTGAATAACAGCGCCCGTTTGCGCCCTTCGCTCTATATATTGTTTTTGTACTCCTCGTCTCATCATCCACACTCGCTCTCTTCCTCCGCTTGGCTGCTTCGGGAGCTCTGCACTCGCTTCTCCCTTGCTGCTTGCTGCTGCTGCTGCTTTGTCAATTTCCCCGCACGTAGAAGCAACTCGCTAACACACTCCGTACAGACACACACACACACACTCCGTACAGACACACACACACACACAAGGGCTGCACCGCCACACACAGATTGCTCTCGTTACACGTGGTTCTCGCAACGACGGCGACGACGACAAAAAGTTGTATAGCGCCGATCCTCGGCGCCTGCTCGCTTCGTGTGCGAACGGACGCGATAAAGTGTTGCCGGTCGAGTCGTCTTTTTTTCTCTCTCTCTCTCACGCGTCTCCTCGCGTAACAATGGCACGCGCTTTTTTTCTCTCGTCCGCACAGGATTCTATGCGATTTTGACCATAATCTACATCAGCTTGCCGATGGGATTGTGCGTGCCGTTGCCGAGCAAGCCACCGCCACCGCCGATCTGCAAGATGGTGCAGATCATGACCTACATCGGATTGCGGATTAGCAACATCACCGAACACTACGTGGGTACCGCGCAGCGACGGCGGACGCTTCTCACATTCACGCACGCGCACACGCATTTTCCGTCCGTCCGTTCGCGCGTGCGTTTCGTCGCAGCGGAGACTGCGGGAGACTCCGTATTTGTTGCATCGATTTGCGTTGCATCCTCCCCGACCCACCGTGGCACGCGCGCGTTCATTCATCCCGACGCGAGCTTAAACTTTACGCTGCTGAAACTGCGTGAGCACGTTGCGCCCGTTGCGCCTGAGCGGTAGACAATGCGATTGATCGGTGGGGGTTTTTTTTTTTGCCCAATGAAGAATGACGAGTCGATTCATAATCGTACGGTTCCGTCGCTTAGAAGGAGCAATTTAAACAGAGGGACGTGATTTGTTCTTGCCCGAGGTGGCTCGGTTCTAGAACGATCAGCGCGCAATCGGACGTTTTGCGAATTCAAATCCTGGATGCGGAGGGGAGTGTGATTAACTCGGCCCATCATCCCTCCGGGGTCGATACAAATTAGCACCACATTGTGGTGGTGGGGTGGGTGGGGGGATTGGAGTCATCAGTGGTTGTCCCATGTCTAGACACGTTTCCCGGCCATACGAATGTGGAATTTCCACCATTGGCTCGGGGCCGTACAGAGGAGACGATCGCTGCCTCAAATGCTCTCTTGCGCAGACAATCCCTTTCCTTGACCCTTGCCTTAACACGAACGTAAGTTGCAGGAGGATTGTGAGCGATAAAATAACAACATTAGTCGGTCTGTAACTAGCTATACGTACGTATGGTAACCAACAGGATAAGGGGGTTGCCGACGACAACAAAAACAAACACGTGCGCGTGACCCGTGTTTGCAGCGACTCGCGATTTGATAAACACACGAACAGAGAAGGGGGGGTCTCTGATTATCTTCGGCGGAATTCCTCCTCTCGTGCTGGCAATCGTTCAAGCTCAACATTATGTCCGAGTTTGAATCGCGCCGTTTTCTTTTTTTTCCTTTCAGAGAAGTCAAACCATAAATGCGCTTTGTCAAACACACTGGCGCTGAGCTGTTGTCATGAATATTATTATGACTGTGGGCTACAGAGCAAAAAAAGCATTTCAAGCGCGGCAAAACAGCTATATCGTTTTTCCTTTTGAACGCGAAAAAAAACCGCCACGGACATATGGATACGCTGAGATGAATCGTGATGAATTACTTTCTCCGTTGTAGTTTTTTTTGTGGCCTTAGCGCTGGCAGGCATTCGAACAATATAGGGCGCAGTGTAGTTTCGGAGCTCATCTGTCACAAACCCATCAGCCAGTGACCCACTTGGACTCGGCAGCGTGGAACAGTGAACCATGGCGCAAAGAGCCAGGCAGGTATCGAGTCATTTGCTCTTGTTGAGATCTCCCCCATCGCTGTGGTTTTTTTTGTTGTTTTGCGAGAGTCACCGTATCCGAGCCTCACTCTCGGCGCTTCGAACGGCAGAGAACCTCGGGCCGCCTCCGTTCCTTTTGTGTCGTCGTTCCGCCCACCCCCTCGCGTGGCCGTCGAGCCGGGCGCAATGCTTGAGGTGCCTGCATCTCACCGAGCGAATTACTTTGCTGCACGATAGCGGGGATGTCATAACATGTCAACCGCACGGAGTTGTTCTCCGGAGCACACCCTATCGGCGCCACCTGGGATCTTTGCGCGTTCTCCGCCACGAGTTTTTACTACAAAAACAAAACTAAAAAAAGTTGCCCCCCGTTTCTAAAACCACCACCCCCCCCCAGCCGCCGCCTTTCCTCGTTTCTGGCGACATTTTGTTAGCCTTTGAGCGTGAATGGAAATGCGTGCGCACGTGTGTTCACGTGTGTTCACGTGTGTGTCGCGTGTATTCGCGAACGTTCGCAGCCGTTATGAGCTCACGGGTTTGTTTTGTTAAATACGCGCGTGTGCACATAACCAAATGTGTTTTTTTTTTATTAATCAGTGGGCTGCGTGCCTAGATTAATTACTGTGATTCGGTCGAAGTCTCTGTCGATCTCGGAAATTGGATTGCGTGGACCCACCCTCCATACATGTACGTTGATTAATCGTCAGTTGCGTCTTGGATTTCTATCAGAATTTCCTTCGAAATCAAGAATTAATCATGCCAATATGCGAATTGTCAACGCATCACTATTTGGCATATTTCTTGCAAATTTTAAAACAATAATTATCATTTGCAATGCAAATCAACACGGCTATGAATCACTCTAGACATCACTGTAGGCTAGATCGTGTCGCTATTATAGCCTGCTATCAAGCCAACGCTAAAAACTTTTATGAACCCAAAATGGTTTCGAATATTGCTGTTAATAACTCCTTATAACCTGCACGTTTTTAGACCGATATAGTCAGGTTCATAAAGTGGCCTGCCTGTCACGTGTCCCACTTAGAGAAGAGATACATGGCAGTAGTAAGTCTTCTTATTTTACGTAGGCGAGGCAAGTTGTGAATGAACAGGTGTGGGCACAGTTAATAACATAAAATACCGCCGAACACCTACGCTTACAAAACACCTACACATTGTAAACAGTGGCTGCAGACATTGAATTCTGCTCCTGTGCAGATCCTGGGTGGATTGAACGATGCATTACAAGACCAATTAGAGACGGCGATAGCTTGAGGAGACCTTCATCCAGCAGTGGATTGATCATGGTGGATGATGCTAATGATGATACCTGAGCAGAATAGTTCAGTGTACCTGCAGTTAAGGAATTTCTGAGTGTGTTAGGTTTGTCTTTGGGAGGGGTAGAGATGGAGAGAACAGCGGCTTTTCAAACGATTCCACTTCTGAGCTCTAAAACCTCAGATGAGGTTTGACTATTGAGATATGGATTTGTATAGAAAGTGAGCGTCCATGCATGCCATGCTGAACAATGCTGCCGGGCTTAATTTTATGATCTTTTGATGCAAAGCAAACACTCGCATCAATGCAAGCTGTCCAGTTGCAGCGTACTTTAACCACGTTGGCCCGTAGGCTTTGATAAGTTCGCTATATAACCCGTAAACAGGCTGCACGAAATATGATTGATTTTGTTCACTCGTTAAAAACGTAACCATCGCACTCATGAACCTTGAGCATTAGTGATCCCAAAGAACCCCAAGAGGGCTGCAGTTCTGATATACTGTATGCTTTTGTGGCTTTTGCTTCCTGGCGAAAAAAAGCATTAAAAAATAAACTTTCAGCGATAATAAATTATATCAAAGCAATACATTGTCTTGCTTTTTGTAGCTCGGAGTAAAAAAGTAAAATATTTTCAGTGTATTGGGATGTTGCCCTTCGAGAAACTTGTGTTGAACTTCTTAAGCACTCTATGTAGGCAACTGTGCTAATCGGAGGTATTAAACAGCATTTGTTTAAATGAACACTGGACTGGTCTTGACCTTCTGGGTTTTGTCAGCGGTCAGGTGTGTTAATTACTGCTGGTTTACCAGCTGTTATTGGTAAGAGTATTGCCCTATATGACGGGGCCCTGTCAGAGCAAATAAAACCCCTATACATTTCATTAAAAAAAACCCATCTGCTGTGGTGGAATATTTTTGGAAATAAAATGAATGAAATCGACTCTCGTTCATTGTGACGTCACGACACTCAACGTGCCGTTGGCTTCTGGCAAACAGAAGTGACACGCCATTGATTATGCTCACCGATAATGACCGAGTCGTGGCACTTATCTGTCCTTGCAGAGACTAAAGAACGACTTTGACGAGGATTCGGCCAACTCCTGCAGCTCTGTGAACATCCACGAGGCCTCCACCTTCAGCAACACGTCCGCGAATTCATACAAGTTCCTGGTGAAACTGTGGAAGGTTCACACAAGCGGCAGAGAACAAATGATATTGTTCAATCATGGCTCTCTAATACAGGAGATGAACGGCTTCATCTCAGCCCTGAAGAATCTGATGAAAAACCGCAACATCCCGATACCGGCGCACAAACCAACGACCAATCCGGCCAATGTGAACATGTCCGGTTTCGAAACAAAACTCTGTGCCTACATGGTCCTCGAGAAGTACAGGGGGTGGGTCATCTGGACAAACCGCCAGCTGGCTTCATGGACGTCCTTGCAAAGGGTGTCCTGTGCACGGACTAACACACCTAGCAACCTGCACGCTGACACCGCAGAGACACTTGCGACTCGGCGGTCGAATCCATCTGGCCAGCGCACCCACGGTGGCAGCAGCAGCAGCAGCAGAAGAAGAAGTACTCACATGCAATAATTCCTGGTGCAAATGTTGACCTATTTATTTTTGTTAAAGTATTTTATTGCCATATATTTATTTAACTAACTGCCGTTGCTTTTTTTTTTGTCTACTTGTATTTTTAGTGTACGACATTTTTAACTTAAAAAAAATACTATTATGCCTATGCAGTTAGTGTACATCCAATCCCTTTCCGCGAGCATTGCTACTATATGCGCGAGTTTATCGCAGTACGGATTTCTATACACTTACAGAACCCATCGAAACTTGACGATAACGTTTAGATTGTATACTTAATGTGGTGCCTGTATAAAAAATCTGTGGCATTCTGAGCGAAAGTATGAAGCATTATGTTTGTAAACTGAACGTGGTGCTAACCTCGCCAAATGCAAGATTTATTTTCACACACCATACAGCACTGTGATTCTGTGAATGCCGACTATTTATTTTGTGTTAACTTATTCTGCCATAATTTATTACCTTAGATGTAGTATTTAAACGAAGGAAATAAACGTTGAACCCAAAAAGCCTTCTGGATGTCGTAAGAAATGTATTTACACTCTGTTGGAGGAAGTGGAGTGCATAAAAGACATTGTCTGTTCACGGATAATCGCGGAGAAGATCTGCAAACATATCTTGTTTATTGGCTTATCTGGGAACTGCCTGAATGGACAGTGACTCTCATTGTGACTCTCACAATATCATCTACAAAAGTCAAATGAACCAACCAATAAACCCAACGCGCTCATTCTAGATATATGACAAACCAAGGGACAATGCACACCACCTTTGCGTGGCACCGAGGGACATTTTTTTTGTAAAAACCCAGCTTCCTTCCACAATAATGAATCACAGTCTTTTGTCTATATGTATATATGCATGTTGAACTTCTTTCGCACTACACGTAGCCAACTGTGCTAATCGGAGGTGCAGGAAATACACTGCTGGATGAAGGCCTGCTCACCACGGTTGAGTTAGTTGTGGGGATTATTTTCCCATACTTATCCATACCGATGAATGAGGACATGTGGAGTGAGTGGGGGGTGGGTCAATATCGCTCACCACTGGCTTAGATTTGTCCATCGCACAGTGCGCAAACCACAGCACCAACGGGAAGAATGGAAGGAACTTGACGGCGACAGAAGAGATTGGTGCGTGAAAGATGTGAACTGCTTGAGCATATTGGCACAAGACAGAGGAAAGTGGAAACACATGACGAAATGTGCAGTGGATGCCTATGGGCTACCTGCCCCTGGATCGTGATGGTGGTGATGATGATGAGCTGGGAAGAGTATTTTTGTCACGTATCGCGTAGTACAGAAAGATACGTATCATGATACATGGTAGGTAAAGCAGTTTTTTACTTAGCATTTAAGGCCCCGGTAAATTTTTCAAAAGCAATTGTGAAATTGTATTATTTTGTTGCAGTTAGTGTCTACTGGAAATGTACCATGTCAAGGTCTTGCTTTAATTACTTTCTGTGGGTGCTCTGGTTTCCTGCCCCATGTAAACACCATAATTGGGCAATAACACCCTTTGTGCTATAACACTGAGGGCCGCAGAGCTTCCGGATGGGGGGAAATTTGGGGCCTCGTCGCCGCCTGATTGCTGCCTTTCCCGCTCGTGCGCCTCTGATGAGACATTCTCTCTTCGAGAGTGAGGGAAACACTTTGCGGAACGCAACAAGTCGCTAACACTGATCGATATTATTGAGCAAAAGGAATGCTACGACATGCATGCTGTCGCCGCATCAGTCCACCGGGCAAGGCATCACGTGAAGCGAGACAACGGGGTGTTCAGATGTACCGGAATCACGTGATGACACAAAACAACAACAACAACAACAGGACAGAGGGACAGCTGTGAGCTGCTCATACGATACACGATTGACGACTGTCAACGTCTCTCCACACGAGGGAAAGAGTCGATTTACTTGCACTTCGTCGTCAACCCAGCCTTCCGCGATATATACTCAGAACAGTATGTTCCAATAAGAGTGTATTTATCAATGTGTTTTAATTACCGCTATTGCAGAAACCAAATATTCCCTCGTATGCATTACAATTACCCATTTATTCCACGAGCTGGTATTCTGCAAGCCAAGTTTTGGCCCCTGTGAAACGTGAATCAAATAGTCGATTCTGACATTAGCCACGATCATGATGCTTTAACCAGTTTTGGCTGTAATCAGAAGGAATATGCCTTTCTCCCTGCCACAAACCTTTACCGGGGCCAACCCCAAAACCACCCCCTATCAACGTAATAATGTATAATAGTGTATCGTCTTACGTCAACACACGCATCTCAGCCATGAGGGCCAACTGACCATACTTCACCACAATGGTCAGTCCGAGTCGGTGCAGGAGGTGTGGCAAATGGGGAACCAAGAACGACTCAGATATATCACTTGGTACTTACGCTAGTCGTGGCTGGGAATCGAACTCAGGTCGCCGGTTTTATCGCACAGGTGAGCCACGAGCCACTGTTTACTCTGTCAAAAAAGGCCGCTCTGCCTTTGCGTCGCATTCTATTTGCTCAATGCTCAGACGCTCACACTCCACCCTTTTCTAATAACGTCTCAAATAAAACCTTACATTCGTCAATAAGTGACTTATTAGGAAACGATTTAATAGGCGATGTTTTGGGGCAATGGCTCTTCTCTCAAAGAACCCTTCCTTCCGCCATGAACATTTATGTTCACATCGCTTTGACAAACAATTGTTCTCTATCACACTCTGTCCCTTGAATGAACTAAATTATAATATTTATATTTTAACCATGTAAGAGCCACTGAGCATATTGCTCTTTGTTCAGAAGCAACCCTGCCACAAATGATAGCTCAATGAAGTGGCTTATGTGGAAATTTGTAGCAGCCAAATATTCCAGCCAAATGCTCCCCAACCAGTGCCCAATAACATTGCAAATTACTCGAGAGCTGTCTGTTTTTTTATCATAATCCCCTTCACACAATGGCACCGTGATTAGTGGTTTCCTTTTTTGTGACATAATCACAGCCCCTAAAACAAGTTTATAATTCACTTGAATTTTTTTTATTTATCTTTCTTTTTTACCAATTTGGCATTCAAGTTGAGCCATTAGAATGTGTAAAGTTTCTATCTCTGAAAATGCACATACATAATGAATCCATTATGTATGTGTTATGCCAAAGTGATGTGCTTTCAGAACTCACCGACGAAAGCTTACAAACGCTCCCCGTGAGCCTACATCATGGAGCATTTTTTTTACAGCCCTTAACCCACAATTCAACCTATAAAATTGTACATATGTCCCTGCAAAAATAAACTGGGGAAACGTAATGTCAATGAGAGCCAGTGCATTGGCTCACAGAGCAAGGGCTGACAGCGTGGCACAGTGCTCACCCGTGTGCCACACGGCGCAAAGGGCCTGTTGTCTGACTCCCAACTTGGTCGCCTGTTTGTGTGAAGTTGGTTTTGTTCTCCACCTGTTCTGCACGGTTTCCTCCGGATTCTCTTCTTTACGCTCGTTACCTGAAAAACGAAAATCTGTATACAATCAAACTGGAATTGGTCAAATAATCCCGATGCTGAAAATTACCTATAAACTAATACTCAATTGGGATTAGATGTAGGGACAATGCCTCCGACTGCAAAACAACCTTTTTACAGGACCCTCCTGAAAAAGCATTTTTAGACTCGGTGAGCCTTTGCAAGGTAAACATGCGACGTAGTAATTCCACACACATAAATGCTGCACGCCTAGTCTCGTCGCGTTGTTTCACGGCTTCTATCTGCAGATGTAGGCCATTGTAGGTCTTTAGGCGTGGACGGTGCTTCTCGTGTTGCTTTGAATACACGTTTGGAGGCTTGTGGACTTTTTTTTTCATAAACAACGCGGGGGGGGGGGGGGGGGGACGAGTTTCCATCATTTGTAACAATAGGAGTAACACCGACCATGTGGTTTTTTTTTCTACGAAAAGTCGAGGCGAAAAATTAGCGATAGTCTAGGTGGGAATGATAACTCTGGGCGAGGGGGAAAACCACGTGGATACGAACATCGCGTTGCTTTGCTCTTGGTGTGTGCGAAGGATGTAATGCTGACAATACTTGCCAAAACCCAACGTAAGTATGATAATCAATATAATGTAATTCCTTGATCAGTGCATTAACATACCCTGCGCCCTGTATATACACGCTAATATGTCTGCAACATCAATTTAATATTGCGAGCCTTAATACGACGTATACTTGCCTTGGGTAAAGGTTTGTTAAAAGTATGTAAATAAATTTTTATAAAAACGAAAGTCACTGTGTTAGGCATTATAACATGGAAAGTGGTGAGTGACTCATTTGACAATAGTATCTGGTATCATATACCTATCAAGGACGGTCAATTTATTCGTCTATTAGAAGATGGGTAAAACATTGGTAATTATTGCTTTTTAAAAACACCCGTTATAGACACCCATAGCCTTCCAACATATGACAGGAATTAAATGAGTGGATGGCAATGTTATTAGAGTATGCATTCACACACATGAACCAAAACAAATTGAATATCGCAGATTTCGTCAGATGTCAGAATCTAAGCAGATCTAACACCTGTATATAGTGTTCGGATGGGTGACAAACATGCATAACAGGAATTATAGGATGTGGGATTATGTTGTGGGGCGCAGAGGGCACTGCAGATAAATCCACGGGTGGACTTTGTGTACTCCTATGCTCCCGCGTCTATGCTTCCCTTGACCTCGTATGGCATTACTTGGGCCTTATCCAGCAATGGATTGACAAAGGGCTTGTTCAGTGCATGTCCTACAATACAAAATCTGCCTCCTTCACCTATCTTTCCCTCCACGTTAAGAAATTAAAGTTGTTGTTTTTTTTTACATTTCCTATTTGCCACACGGCCTTCAGCAACACTGGCTCACAAACAAACTCTGGACCCGTGTCAACATTCAGAGTCTCATCAACAGTTAGGCTCAGCTGTCCATTTGCCCAGACGAAATATTCATTTTTATCATCCTCTAAAGTGGCAAACCTTCAGTTAACAAATGCCTGGATATGGACAAGCATCATAATTACCACCAGCCATGCTCAATTGACGGCTGGATGAAGGCCTTCCCAAGCCCACTCCACCTTCACGATTTGGCGACGTAATAATCCACCTAGCAACTGCACATCAACTGATTTCACTCCATCTCCTCATTAGACATCCTATCTCAGATGCATTCCATTCCTTGGCTGCTACTTTATTATTCTTGACCACTGAATACAGCCAACAACAGTGAATTATGTGATGAAAACCTTTTTGAATTCGTCATCATCATCATAAATATTACAGTATTTAATTGCCATGAATATAAAGTTATACAATGGCATGTTTCCCCACAGAAGGAAGAAAAACTGGAAGAAAAAACAGCTAAGTAAAAAAATAAGTGTGCTGTGCAGGACACATCGCTAGAAAGGATGATGACCGGTGGTCAAGAATATTCATGGATTGGTGGCCAAAGAATGGAATGCATCCAAGAGGACGTCCACCGACGAAATGGGGAGAAAAATCAGCTCGTGTGCAAGTGCTATATGGATTGTTGATGACAACGTCTTAGCGAGGCTCTCATTTAGCAGTGGGTTGATCGTGGCTGATGATGGTGAAATATTTGGCAGCTCAAACGGTACAAATTCCTGCTCTGGCCCATGGATGATATCTAGCGAGAAAAAAATCATAGGTTGACCCAGGG